AATTGGTCGATAGTTAGACGCAAGTGATCTATCCCCTTTCTTAAAAACTGGTATCACATTAGTAACTTTCCAAAACTCTGGCACTCTGCCTGACTCTATTGAATTATTAAATATGGTTGACAGTGGGTCACAAAGCTCCACTTTGCATTCTTTAAGCACCCTGGCAAACACTTCATCCGGCCCTGGGGATTTGTTTGGTTTGAGTTTTACTATTTGTTTATGAACATCCTCCTTGGTAACTGCTAAACTCGTCAACCTGTGCTTGTCCCCACCCACATAGACTTGTTCGGCTGAAGGCATATTGTTAAGTTCCTCTTTAGTAAATACAGATACAAAATATTTATTAAAAATACTCTTCATCTCTTCATCACTATCTGTTATTTGACCTGTCACAGTTTTTAATGGACCTATCCTTTCCCTAGTCTTAGTACGATATAACTGAAAAAACCCCTTTAGGATTTGTCTTTGCTTGCCCTGCTATGCGAACTTCATAGTTTCTTTTTGCTTTCCTTATCTCTTTTTTAATATTTCTAACCAGTTGTACGAATTCCTGTTCTAAAGTGACCTCCCCATTTTTAATCCTTTTGTACCAAGCTCTCTTTTTACCTATAAGGTTCTTCAAATTCTTTGTTATCCACTTTGGGTCATTAGTATTCGATCTATTCAATTTGTATGGTATACTACATTCCTGTGCTTTGTTTAGAATATTCTTAAATTAGTTATATATTGAATCCACATCGAAATCCCCATTTAAGTCACCTATCGCTGGGTTCATGTCTCGCTCCAAGACCGGCCCACACCCCATACCCAAGACTTTCCAATCAATTTGACCCAAAAAAGTTCTAAGGCTATTAAAATCAGCTTTTCGAAAATCTGGCACTTTAACAGAATTTTCTCCTACAGGTCTATTCCATTCTATGCTAAATCTGATTTCTTTGTGATCACCGTTCCCTAGCTCACTCCCTATTTCGATGTCATTAATTTGTGTTTCCCTGTTAGTTAACACTAAATCTAAAATATTATTTTCCCGTGTTGGTTCCTTAATGTGTTGCGTAAGAAAGCAATCGTCAATTAATTCTAGAAAATCTTCTGCTTCACTATTCCCTGTTTTGTTCAACCAGTTTATTCCACTAAAATTAAAGTCACCCATGACGTAAATACTGTTAGATCTAGATGCCCAAGATATTTCATCCCATAGATGCTTTGCTTCCATTCTGTCTAAATTTGGTGGCCTATATATAACTCCTATTATAATATTATTAGCTTTTTCGTTTAATTCTATCCAAATAGTTTCTGTGTGTGGCTCAGTTTTGATTCCCTCTTTGAGACTACATTTCAAATTGTCCCTAACATATATGGCTACTCCACCTCCTCGTCTAATACATCTATCTGTGTGAAATAGTTTAAATCCATTTATTTGATATTCAGCTAATAGTTCTCTATTTTCTACATTCATCCACGTTTCGGTAAGTGCAATAATATCTATTTTTTCTGTGCAGACAAGAGCATTTAATTCGTTAATTTTATTTCTTAGACTTCTACTGTTAGTGTAATATACCCTAAGTGAATTGTTATTTTGAGGCCCTTCTCTTTCCCTGATCATTTTGCCAATTCCTTTCTCCCTCAAACACATACTTTTATTACCTCCTTCCTCCAAATCAATTCCCATACCTCTATCTACTAACAGTTTAAACCCAAACAAACATCTCTAACCACTTCTTCCAACGAGTTCGCAACAGCAACAACCCCAGCCCTCGATAGATGCACCCCATCACGAGCATACATTTCATTTCTTCCATAGAAGTGTTCCCAGTTGTCTATGAAAGATATTGCATTTGATTTCCAATATCTTTCCAGCCGGCAATTGACACCAAGTGCCCTCAACATCCATTCATTTCCCACTCCCTTTCTTGGAAGAATGCCACATATGATCGGGATTCCTCCCTTGCTCCTAACTAATTCAATGGCTGTCCTGAATCTCTGTATTAGTTCCTCACTCCTAACTCGCCCAACATCATTACCCCCTGCACTAATACAAATAATGGGTTTGTTTCCATTTCCCGTCATATTATCATTCATGTTTCCAACAATATCACCAATTCCAGCTTCCGGATAGCAAACCCTTAATCTGTTCCCCTATCTCTGGCACAAAACGTTCTGACTAAATACCTCACTTGGGAATCTCCCACAACCAAAATTCGCTTCGATTCTCCCTTTTCCTTTCGAGCAGTTTGAGGGACCTGCGCTTCAATGCTCCTCGTTGCTTTGCCTCCTCTTTGAACAACAGGTTCACCACAGCACTTGTCCTCTAATACGTCAAATGCATTAAAAGTCCTTAGGTGTAGGCTATTAGTTGTCGGTTTTGCCAAGGTCTTCTTAAGACCCCTGTCCTTCACAACTTGCCAAGACGAGGTCTTCTTAATACTATTCCCGTCAGTCCTTTTTAATGAGGTCCCGTCAACACTGGCCTCCTCCTTCGTTTCCTCTCGAAGTCTCAGCCGTCGTACCTCCTCCCGCAGGGAATCCATCTCTGCTCTCAGAGCTCCAACCAGACTCACCAAATCCTTCACTAATCCTTCCATTATTGCAATAATAATGTTACTAGAATCGGAGCTCCAGCTAACACAACCTTTCACTGTGACTGCACCTGACTGACTCACTGAGCATCACTGGGAGTACTCAGGGTATGGGTAACGATGTGAATCAGTGCTATACCAACGGTTCTGTAGAAAAAGGTGGACGATGTACCGATGCGCATGTAATATATTTGCATAATCTTCTCTTGTAAGTACAGCAATGAAACGCGCCAAAGAGGAGCGCTCTTCATTGAGGAGCTGCCTCGTATGGGCCAATAGGCGTTCTGCAGTTACCTTTGTACTTATGTTCTTATGTTCAATGATTGGGCAAGTACAACTCAAACTGAACTTGCAGGCATATACCTTGCTACTGAATTTTTAAAAGACAAAGGCAGTGGACTTATATACTGTGACTCGCAGAGTGCACTTCTGGCATTGAACGCACATAGTAGAATGAATGTTTTAGCTGCTAAAGAAAACAGATTTGAAATTAAATTCCTATGGACACCATCACAAGTTGGTATCTCAAGGCATGACACTGTTGATATGCTTGTAATGACAGCCTGTAGGAAACCAGTGGTAAAAATTCATATGGGCGTTTCATTAGCAGTGACAAAACAATACTTAAAGAAGTATCTAATGAAAATCTCACTGACCTAATAAATTCACAAAGACCTTAAATTTGTAGAATTAAATATTAGAAGAGATATCGTGAGGAGACATTCACATATGGGACTAATACAGCAAGAACTCGGCAATGTGATGTTATAGTAGCGTTAAGCTGGATTAGGGCATGGCTATACCAAAGGGAACAGAGAGTTAGTATAAATGGAGTCAAGTCAGAGTGGGAAAATGTTGTAAGTGGAGTGCCTCAAAGCTCTGTCCTGGGTCTTCTGTTGTTTATAATATATATAAATGATTTAGATTCAGGTTTGAGTAGCAACATTTGCAAATTTGCCGATAATACAAAAATCGGTAGAGAAATTAATACGGAAGAAGACTCACTATCACTTCAAGTTGATCTAAATAGGGTTTTGAAATGGTCAACGGATTGGCAGATGCAGTTTAATGCTGATAAATGTAAAGTTTTGAGGCTAGGTAATGATGATAGAGTTACAAGATACGAGCTAGATGGTGATGAGATTGCGAAATCTGATTGCGAAAGGGATCTGGGAGTTATGATTAGTAAGAATTTAAAACAAAACGATCAATGCATGAATGTTCGTAATAAGGCAAATAGGACACTGGGATTTATTAATCGAAGCATTAGTAACAAGACACCTGGTGTGGTTCTTCAGCTATATCTAGCTCTGGTTAGGCCCCATTTAGATTATGCAGTTCAGTTTTGGTCGCCGTACTATAGAATGGATATAAATTCACTTGAATGTGTCCAGCGTAGGATGACTAAGTTAATTCCCCAAATTAGAAATCTTTCATATGAAGAAAGATTAACAAAGCTTAAGTTGAATTCACTGGAAAGGTGAAGATTAGGGGTGACATGATAGAGGTTTACAAGTGGATGAATGGACATAACAAAGGGGATATTAATAGGGTATTAAATGTATCAACACAAGACAGAACATGAAACATTGGATATAAATTGGATAAGTTTAGATTTAGGAAAAACTTGGGTAAATACTGGTTCAGTAACAGGGTTGTTGATTTGTGGAACCAATTGCCGCATAACGTGGTTGAGGTAAGGTCCCTCGGTTGTTTCAAGTGTCGGTTGGACATGTATATGAGTGGGATTAGGTGGTTAGAAATAGGAGCTGCCTCGTATGGGCCAATAGGCCTTCTACAGTTACCTTTGTTCTTATGTTCTTATAACCTGAGCTTGTAAAAGCTACTTAGTCACCTTCAGTGGTTAAGTGCTTATTGCACACTAGTTTCTCTATCATCTATCTCACGCTGTCAGAGTGTAAGAGACAAATGTATGTGTATGTATGTATGTGTGTGTATATATGTATATGTATGTATGTGTTTATGTGTATGTATATGTATAAAGTATGTGTGGAAGCTGATCAGAATTACATTTCACCTTTTTAAATGCACATTAATAACATTATGTAAACGATACATCGAACACTTTACGTAGGACAGACGTAAATCTGTGTATCTATGTATTTACGAATGTACGTTAGATTAGCATTTTAAAAGCACTGCAATCACCTTCAGTAGTTGATTGTTTAATAAATCCCTGAACTATATGTTTAACTAATCTCTACCCCTGTCCATTGAAGACAGAGGAAAATTTATATATGCTGGTTAGCATTGTTAATGTGTGGCCACGTCTGTGGTAAATAATAATAAAAACTAATAATACCACCAATACTACTGCAGCAGGAGAGACAGCTACTCTCCGTCAGTAGTCATATCACACCAGGCAGACACCAGCCGTCCCTCCCTGTGGGAGAGATTACTCACCTCCGTCAGTAGTCATGTCACACCAGGCAGACACCAGCCGTCCCTCCCTGTGGGAGAGATTACAACTCATAAAACACCTCAACATTTCACCAGGTAAAGTCCTGGACATCAGCCACATATTGTGGATGTTGTCCAGCAGCTATATAAAACTCTCCAGAACCAAGCATGTTTATCATTACTATGGAGACTAAGCTCACATCACGGATAAAGTCCTCTTGGTTGAGTCCAGGCCCCGCACACCATTTTGTATGACTCATGCTGAATCACGAAAACTGAGTCACTCATCCTGAGGCACTCATACTGAATCTCACTGACTCACTTATACAGTCATTTTTATTGAGTCACTTATAATAAGTTACTCACACTGATTCATTTATACTAAATCATACAAAGTCACTCCTGCATAGTTACTCATACTGAGTCTCTCTCATGGAATCACTCAATCTGAGTAACTCACTTTGAATCACTTGAATTTAGTCAATCTTACTGACCAACTCCCATTGATTCATTAATACTGCATTAATATGGCTTCAGCAGGTAGGCGATTCCTTGGGTTTATATCCCGCTAAACACACGGTGAAACCACGACGTTGCTGCAACGTTCTAACAAGTTGTAACACCTTCTGACAAGTTGTAACATCTTCTAGCAAGTTGTAACACGTTCTAGCAAGTTGTAACACCTTCTAGCAAGTTGTAACACCTTCTGACAAGTTGTAACAGCTGTTAACAAGTTGTAACACCTTCTAGCAAGTTGTAACACCTTCTGACAAGTTGTAACAGCTGTTAACAAGTTGTAACACCTTCTAGCAAGTTGTAACACCTTCTGACAAGTTGTAACAGCTGTTAACAAGTTGTAACACCTTCTAGCAAGTTGTAACACCTTCTGACAAGTTGTAACAGCTGTTAACAAGTTGTAACACCTTCTAACAAGTTGTAACACCTTCTAACAAGTTGTAACACCTTCTAGCAAGTTGTAACACCTTCTAGCAAGTTGTAACACCTTCTGACAAGTTGTAACATCTTCTATCAAGTTGTAACACCTTTTAGCTTTTCCTTATCATACTACAGAAAGACATTAACGTAACTTAAAGTCTTTATTGTAGTAGTTGTAGTTCTTTATTGAATAAATTATTATTGTTATAGAAGAACGGTCTTTATGTCAATAACTCAACATAATAGTGTATCACATACATATTCTGCATAGTACAAAACTTCATGTAAATTTTAATGACGGCCTGCTTCTGGCATTTGAATCCGATTCATTGTGCCACACATCAAATTAAAATTTGGTGTGAGAACTCTTGGGTTACCCTTAAGAACGCTTTATCACTAGAGGAACCGGACGTCCAAGTGGATAGGGATTTCAACCAAGATTGAAGGCCTGGTGGATTGCTTCCACCCTTCTATGGGCTCTTGCCTAAAGTACATGCTGCTTCCGACTCTTAACGTGTTGGCTAAGCAGTCCTTTCTGTTTGAGGTCAAACCTTCAATGTAAGGTGAATAGAAAAATCTCACAAACATTAACCGGCCACTGCATAATGACTGGAACATAAACCGGCCACTACGTCATGACTGGAGCATAAACCGGTCACTACATCATGTGTAGGGAGTTCTCACCAGAATAAGTTTGAGTACTGTTAAATTACTAGTTGAAATCTACTTTAAAATTAATTAATTGAAGTGGACTGAATGATGTAAATGAAGTGTATTACATTGATTAGTCGTGCTGAGGTTTATCTTTCCACAAGTTAAGGGGTTTATACGTACGTAACCTATATCACCAATGGTGGTTAACAAGAAACAACATTATGTGTGTTAGTTCTACGGTTAAATAGGTTAATAATTTATCAAATGCTTAGCTCTAGAGTCGAAATCGCCTGATAATAGGCAGTGGTTTTCTTTGGTCACATACAATAAACATCAGTTAAGGGAGTCTTAATGACAACTTGGGAAACCGCAAACAGGCCGAATGTATGTTAATTCTTCTTCTGAATGGCACCTGCAAATTAATGTATCAGTAGTAAACACTTACCACTACACAATGTATATATATACATGGGAAATTAATTTATTGTAAGAAATGAGTTTACCTGTTCCGGGTGCCCTCCATGTATCCTATCCGGACTATAATAATTATCTATACTACTGGCCAGAATTATTGATAATTCTTACTAGTAAACTGGAAACAATACTTCCCAAGTAGCGAAATCGTGGATTGGGTGATCGTGGGAAATATCTGGTGTGTACACGTGTGAATTCTTAAGTAAGGCTAGTAGTGTTGACGTATCAACTGCGATGCGCACAATATAGTGTGTCCGCTTTATCCTTGGCTTGGGACTCCCCAACCAGCACGGCTCAATTTTCGATATTATCAACTTATTACTAAAGGAGGAAGTTTGGATTTTATGAGTCAGTTAATAACGATTAGTCATATAGATCACTTTTTTGTGGTATTTAAACTCAAGATTGAAAGTTTTAGTTATTCACAGGAGTAAATATCACTCATAAATCGTGAAACTGCTTATGTGGTAACATCCCATTCTCCCTGGTGTGTTGTTAAATTCGTTTTCTGTGAAAGGTTAGTAAATAAGTAATGTTAGTATACTCCTGACATCTCTTTTTAACTTTGTATGCCAATGGTTAGTAAATAAGTGTCGTAATTTCCGACATTATGACGAGCATAAACAAGCCAGCATATACAGCTAAGCCTCTTTCGTAAATATTATTTTTGCCTTTATTTAAAATTAATTTTAGATTAAAATAAATATGTGTATATAGACTCCTGGTTCAAACTTGATGACGAGTGGACACCTCCTCCGCTTGGGAGCCACCGGATCACGTTCTGTATTCGCGTTTTGCCTCTGATACTGCCGTTTGGCATCCCATTTCAACTGTCCATTTGTACGACACCTGGCGCACATATCGCCTTGGGTCACGGGATTGTTGATACATTTTTTCACGTGTTTTGGCTGGTTCTCCCGGCGGGTTGACAGTGTCCCGTGCCGGCTTGGCCGAGAGGTGCCGGGGATTGGCGGGTCTTGGTGGGCTCAGTGTGCCCTCAGTCATGGTGGCCAGCCGGCTTCTGCTCTGCTGGAGGGCACTGGATGACTTTTGCGTTTTAGTTGGGGGCCGAGTTTATGATTTTGATACCCAGTGTTCTCTGTGTGGGGCGGGGCCCGGTGCTAGTCACCCTGAGGGACTCCTGGGGCTCCCCAGTGTTCTCTGTGTGGGGCGGGCCCGGTGCTAGTCACCCTGAGGGACTCCTGGGGCTCCCCAGTGTTCTCTGTGTGGGGCGGGCCCGGTGCTAGTCACCCTGAGGGACTCCTGGGGCTCCCCAGTGTTCTCTGTGTGGGGCGGGGCCGGTGCTAGTCACCCTGAGGGACTCCTGGGGCTTTACAATCATCTGCCTGTCTGCGTTTCTTTGCCGTGTGGCATATTAGTTTCCAGTGATTGGCGTCACTCGTTTCGCGATTTGGCTTGGTGTTTCACCTTTCTAAGCTTTGCAATTAACCCTTACCGGGTTCGCCGGGGCGCATCCGATCCCACGATCGTCGTCGAACCTAAATCAACAACAACAACAACAACATATGTGTATATAGATGATTAGGATACAAAGTTTATAAACAAGTATATTGGTCTTTCATGAATCTGAGAGGGAAATATTCTGATGCAATAATCCTGTAAAATTTATCTTCGTATCAAAATGTGTTTAGTTCTAGCCTTTCCTAACTAATACAGTTTAGTTCCCAGAGGTAAAATGTGTTACTTCTCGGAACTCTGTTACTTCTCATAGCTTACATTGTACGAGCTGCTGGCATAATCCATGTTGACTTGACACCATCCAGATGGACGACCTGGCACCACCTGGATGGCTAATCTGGTGCAACCCGTCTGGTTGACCTAGCATGACCTAGATGGATGACCAAGTACGACCTCGATGACTGACTCGGCACAAACTTGATGGCTGACCTGGTATGATATTGATTATTGACCTAGCACGACCTTGATGGATGACCTGGATTGATGACTTAGCATGACCTGAATGCTTTTACATGGTATGACATGAATTGTCGACCTGGCACGATCTGCACTGTCGACCTGACATGGCCTGAATTGTCGACCTGCATGGTTGATCTCACTCAACTTGGATGGTTGATCTGGCCCGACCTGGATGGTTAACCTGGCATGACCTGAATAGTTAACCTTGCACGACCTTGATAATTACCTTAGTGCTACCTGGAGAGTTAACCTGGCACAACCTGGATAATTAACCTGACATGACCTGGATAGTTAACCTGGCATGGTTTGGACGATATAATATTACCTGCGAGGTTTGATGAAGTAGACACCGTCCAGCCTCGCTCCCCGACAGTACAGTTCTGCACAGTCCTTGGCCGTTGACACCCTGCCAATATTTTACCATTGTAATATCTGGTTGAATTATTGTCAATTGTGTCAACTAATTACACAACAATTGTGTAAACTAATATTGACTAGCGAGTGAAAGAAGAGCTCAGGAGATATATGGTGTGATCTTGCAGTTAAAGAAAGTTACTCTTGCGTAGCAAACAGATTATTACAGAAGAGTATGAATAAAATATGAGTGTAAACACCATGTGAGTATAAGTCTTTTGTGTGAGTCATTCAAAATAATTATTGGGATGATTTGAGATTTCAGAGATGAGTTTTTTCTATCATGTGAGATCTGTGAGATATGAGTTAGTATTAGTCAAATGAGAGATTATCTTATGAAAGTGGATTATCATATGTAATGTGAAGTGCAGCAGGGGATAAAAAAACAGTAAGTAAACTTGATTTGAAAAAAAAGTTAGTAAGAACTCTGAAAAGTAAGACACTGTGAAGTCACAAAAAAGATGCAGTGAATTTCATAAAAAAACAACAACACAAACATGGCTCTGTAAATTAATACACTGTGATCTCCCTTAAAAAAAATTGTCATTTTGAAACCTAAGGTAGCCTGCAAAAAAATTAAGTCTCGGCAAAAAAACTAAATCTCTGCAAAAAATAAGTCACTCTGCAAAAAAAAACTTGTCACTCTGCATACAAAAGTAATTCTGCAAAAACTACAGTTACTGTGCAAAAAAACTAAATCACTCTGCAAAAACTACGTCTTTTTGCAAAAAACTCAGCAACTCTGACAAAAAAAAAACTGTCACTGCATAAATACTAAGTCAGTCTGATAAGAGCTATGATCCGAAACACATCATGTGTTGATGTGTTTGAATTGTTTAAAGTATGTCTTAAATTATATGAAATGACTGTCTTGGTAAAAGTTTAACTTAATAAAAGGATGAGACATGGAAATTTGAATTGCTGCTCCAAATTGGAGAGTAAACACTAAACATCAAGGTTAAATTCGCTGAGATAGAAGGTATAGTTGAATAAAATATTAAAATTGGTAAGACAGAAGATGCACATATTGAAGTGGGGGTAGATGTAAACTCTATTTGTTGGGAGCTATGATATTAAACAACAATTGTTTGGTATGTTGAAGTGCTTAAAGGAGACCTAAATCGTTTAATAATGCAAATTGGAAAGTAAACAAAAACAGAAAGATAAATTGTAGAGTTGTAAGGTACAGTTTGATTTATTTAGTAGAATTGATAGTACAGAAGATGCACACAATGAATAGAATAGGAGCAAAGTGATTTAAAGGGTGCTATGATCCGAAACAGAACATGTGATGGTGTGTTGAACTCTATAAAGTTGGTTTAAATCGTTTTAATGTTATTGTCCCCCTTGCCTCTCCTACAAGGGGTATTTTCAACTTTCTCTGAAAATGGTTGTGAATTGGAATGGCTGTTACATAATGACTGTATACACATTACATCTATAGGAATAGAAATTAGAGACTACATAGTGATATTCGACACTTGATCATAAGAATGGAAGATATGATACAATATAGACTGCTTGAGCAAGATCGATATGGCCAAACACTAATGTGAGTCGGACTAAAAAAAATTACTGGAAACAGCTCTCACACTAATACACGTGTTCATGCACGCTGATGCATGCTTACATTCGTCCACAGGCACAAGTCACACTCACCCTGTAATACTCAGGGAATTTGGGAAAGTCCTGTCGAGGGATGAGTATACACGTTATGTTAAAATATTATGTTTATGTATCATAAACTTTGATACATTAAGAGTTTAATTGTGAAACAGAATGATTGATATTGGCTAGATACAGCATGAACGATGAGTTAATTTGTTTTTGAAACTGCAAAGTTATGATATAGTTGGATGTTGAATAAAGATACAATATATAGCTATCCCTCTACCACCTTCTTGGTTGGTTATTATATAAGAAGATATAATATGAAAGATGAAATAAGATGATAAAGAGAAAGACGAGATATGATAATGGTACAGTTATCATTTAATTCCTTAAATGGGATCGTGGGTGTGTGACGTTTTTATGTGTTACCCTGATCATTGAGTAAGGGAATGAAGACATCGCAGATAACTCCATCTTATCACGGATGAAATATTGAATAAAGTGAATTTTAAGGGGGGAAGGAATCATCTTGAGAGTTGTATGGTTCATTAGGTAAGAATGCTTCGTGAATACCTGATCTGCATTGGTAGGTAAGCACTAATAGGTAAGTAGTCTCGCTCATCCACGTTCACCCGCATTCTGGGTCATCCAGTCTTACACCACCCTCCTTGACAGCCGCACACCTGCTCTCTCACTCTATTGTTCCTACCGATGACCCTCTGTACCCTTGTCTCACATCCTCTCAGGGGGTCTCGTCACTCTCCCGAAAATGGGGACAATTTAATTATTGCAAATTTGAGAGTAAACACAAAACATGAAGCTTACATACCTTAGTTGGACGGTCCAGATCGATTGAATTAGTAATATTGATAAGACATAAGTTACACTAGAAGACCCACAAGATGATTCAACTTTAGATGTAAAAGATCTGTGATGGACTATATGATACGAAACAGAATAACTGTATGTATATTGTACTGCTTAAAGCTGACTTAAATTGATTAATACAACATAAAACAGTAATGTTATGATATGGAAAAGATTTACTGTGGAATAAGTTAATATTAATAATGATGAGTTTGAAAGATTTTGATAAAAGTAGAAAGATTAACTAAGTTACGACAGATAGAGATAAGATCATAAAAAGAAAAGATAATAATAGCGGGGAAGTGTAGTTTACTTTACTGGGACCAATTTATATAGGTCTACCTGAATATAGTGAAGAGGATGGGAGTCTAGTGTTAGATCTGAGATCTATAACTTATCATGCTAGTCATGCGAAATGAAAGATCTAGAGAAACATGTTTGGAAAGCACAGATATGTAAGTGCATCAGCCCGTCCTCCAAAAATGGGGAGGTAAATGTACACAGCCCCGTAAGTGCAATTATGTACTATGTATGGCAGTCAAGAATTGTACTAATTTACACTTAGTATTAAATCGTAGTCAAATATATTGTGAATATTTGAGTTTACCTAAAAAGCTGAAAAGAAAACCACGACCTAACCTAACCGTCTTAGTTTGTGAAGATAAGCATTTTATTGGATCTTTATTATACCTACTACTTAACCTATAGCTATATTGATATTACAGTTTTATAAAACAAATAAAACAAAACTAAAATATTTCAATAAATTGTAAAGTAACTCAGGACATTTTCAAATTTTGTATAAAATCTCTATTGTTTAATAAAAGTGAAAAAGAAAATCCTAATATTTAAAACTTGTTTATAGCAACTGAACTTTAAAATTTCATCTTAAAATTTTAAGTGTCCTAACAGAAAACTAGGAGAATTAAATCGGGGGAGGGGGATGGGTAAATGTAACAGCCCCATAAGTGCAATTATGTACTATGTATAACAGTCAGAAAATGTACATATTACACTTAGTATTAAAACGTACTGTCAATTCGGAGGATGGGTTGCAGTGCATAGATAAATGACAGACCCATACACTGGTTCATCCATGGTCAACCTTGAACGCTTTCCCAGTCACAGTCTTTTCTCACACACTAATGAAAAATTTACACATACCATGGAGAGTAAACACTGAATCTTTGATGCTTAAATAGCAATATTGAAATATACTGATCAATAAACTTGATAACATTTATGAGTCGTAAACACAAAGATGCGTAGATATATAGTATTTACTTGATGCGTAAATGCATGAAGTAGAAACGAGGAAAAGATTACTTTATTTGTTTGAAACTGAATAATAGCAGGGATCATGAAAGATCGAATTGGTAATATTTATAACTCATAAAACACACAAAAAAGTTTAACTAATACATGCATACCGTTGTGTTAGAGATTTGTTAATACATAAATCATAATGAGGTGATACGGAAAGATTTGTCTGGGAAAGCTTATAACAAATATTAATGTGTATGAATGATTTTGATACCGAGTAAACGAAAAAGATAACTTACTTATTTTGCAGTAAGATAGATTGGTAAAATATTGATAATAATAAGACTATTGTATACCTTACTATTTTTTCATCTATGATACACTACCGAAGTTAACGTATGGGGAGAGAGAGTAACACTATGATTTGAAAACGTTCAATGTAACATTCTAAACGTCAAGAAAGAAGCATCTATTGAGAACGATGGGAATTTGACTGGAAAATGTAAAGTAAAATGTAAATGTATAGTTATGCTGGGGGGGGGGGGGGAGGAGAGGGTTGAAGGTCAGAGAGCCTCATCTGCTCACCTACTTCCCCTCTCATCACACACACAAACTCCCTTACACTTACTTGATCATACTCATCACTTTCATTTCACTTTCACTATACTCTGAAAATACGTTAGTTGGAATCAATAAGGTAGGCTAATAATTTAAAATAAAGCCATATTCCTCTACTACGTCTAAAATATGATGATTTAAATTATAATTGCTATGACACAACACTTTACTACGCGCAAAATATAAGTAACCCATTAAATCTAAGTAGCCCAATACAAGTAGCCCTATGTGACTAAGTGGATTTCATCCACACCAGAGACTGGGCTGCTGCGGTCATTGATCCCTGTTTGTGAAACCCATGGTCCTGTGACTAGAGGGTAAAACCGCATCTGATATTAACCATAACACTTAACTACGAATCCATACACTGGAATATATAGGCATTTACTACAAACACAATACAATGGTTTAAACTAGTAAGACACAGGTCCAAGACTAAAGTCTCTAAAAATAAATTAATTAACCCTAATGCCAAGACGTGGGCAACTGAACACCCGCACCCCGGGATGCGCGCACGTGCGCACATTCACGTTTAGCGAGCGATCTATCATGCTCATCTGTCAATCATCTAGCTCTGCCGATGGAGGGGATGGCTCTAGTCTCGTTTTCTCCTACTCAAAGACACTCCTCAGA